ACAATTTTAAAAAAAAAAAAAAAAAAAAAAAAAAAAAAATCAGAGCAGCATGACTACTGAGAGGTATTACTAGGGGGGTGGTTTTAGAGATCTGCAGCATAGCCCTTCAGAACCTAGATTTGACTAGATGGAATTTTTATTCTGAAACGTTCTAACTTCAATACTGACTTAAACCAAAACCTTCAATGAATTATAAATTAAACTTTGCCAAGTCATAAGAACCGCATCAAAAAGAACAGATATAGACTGTACTAATATACAAGGAAATTAAAAGAACTGACAAACTAGATTTTTATGGAGTGAATATAGTGAATGAAAAAGTAAAGGAAATAAAGAAATGAGAGAAGTACAAAAGAAAGGTACAAAAACCTGCATGAAGTCAGAAAAGCTTCAGCACATTTGAAGAGATCAAAATTATTCTTCAAAACCAAAGCTTATACAGTGTCTCAAAGGCCTGCCTTCTCATGTTTGTTAATATACCCGTTTAGGAGTCAGACAGCATTCTGTTTAACTTGTGTAGCTCTGTATCATTACACTGAACCATAATTAAACTCCTCTTTTGTGCCATCCTTAATCCATCACAATTGTATCCAATATACCCGCAGTTGCAGTTTTCAGGTTTTGTCTTTACAGCTCAGCTGTATTTTTCCTGGATGTTCACAAGACTGGCATTTGACTGGATACGCTTGGCTAGAAAGAAAAATGTTCAAAATTAAAAAAAAAAAATAAAAAAAAATAAAAAAAAACACAAAAAGGCAGTTTCCCCACACCCTCAATTTATCTGGCATATAATACTGAACAATGCTAAGGCTTGCCCATTTCAACAAAAATATATGGCTGGGAATCCATTTCTCCCATCTTTTACAAGTCTTCAGGTTCCAAGATGGTTAGAAGTTACCATCACCTCCTCAATACTGCAGACCCCCATATTTAGGAGCCTCAAATTTTCCATGGTGCCCTCCCAATTTTAAAAAGAATGTTCTGACAGCACTACTTACGCAGAAACAGTATACGCTTCTTCTGCTTTGAGTGAAGGAAGCTACTAAGATAAAACACAACTGGCAAGAAAAGGATAAATGAAGAAACTGCAATCACTGGGACTGTATCACTGCAGGGGACAGAACAGTTAAAAGTCTTACTCCAAAGCCTTCGAGTAATGTTCATCTATTAGAAAAAACAGAGGAACACATGGTGAGAAACTGATGCATTCTGGACTGTATTGCTGTTTTAAACAATACTGCACAGTTCAAAACTTTTTAAAGTAGCAACTTACAAGAGCTATTTAAAGTGCTTAACTTAAAAAAAAATAGAAATAATGGGCTAAGTGACTGAAGGAAATGGCAAAGCTCCTGCTGACTGCAAAGGAGAATGGATTACACCCAATATTTCAGAGCAGCAATTCCCAGACTGTGGCTCTCACAACATTTGCTGAGGGTTAGTGAAGAGCTAAGTGAAGGGTTAGTGACGATCACATTGGCTGATCTCACACAGCTAAAAACCACATTAAAAAACAACCAAATATACATGAAGAACTTTCTTAGTATGGATGAGCCCTATAAGCAGCTATTGTAGTTAGGAAATAATTACAACAGTTAAATGGACCTGTAGCTAAAGAACTTCAGATAAAAAACAAAGATCACCGGATCTTTCCAACTTTGAAAAAGGTAGAACATTCCCTCCACAACCCACTCAGATGGAATTAAAAGCCCTGCTGCCCAAAATGGACTGCGACAGGGATTCTAAACTAATAATTCACTTGTCAGAAGTGAGAAACTCTTTACTAAGCACTGGAGGTCCGGACCTCTGTTTTACACACCTTCCAAATGAACAGCAGTATAATCAAGTATCCTGGGGACCTGGTTCAGCTAATAACTCAGGAGAGTGAGCAACCCATAACATTTCTTGAAGCATTTAAATGTTTTATTTATCAATTCACAAGGCATTACCATCCCTCAGAGCACCCAACCTCAGACCACTATATAGTGTGACATAAGTAGTTTCTTTGTCATGCTAATGATCATTTCCAATGCTGAAAAGTAAAGGGAGATGCCAAACAAGAATGAATTAAAGCAGGTAAGAGATAGCTAAAGAGAGTTAAGTGAAATTTCTCCTTTGGGCATCAGATAGATAATAGATTGAGAGGAAAATACTTACTGCATCTTCCACATCAATACACAAGTGCTTGCTGTGTTCTGATTCTCCATGCTCTGACGCTCTTTGCATTTCAGTATACAGAGTATTCAGCTTTTTATAAGTTACATTACAGTTTCTGCATACCTCTGTGTAGTTACTTGCTACCAGACCAATTGCTTGCCCCTGAAACAAGTAACATGAACATAAAATAAAAATAACTTTAAAAATCCCTTGAGTCCAAAATATTAGCATGCCAAAAATGTGGAGTCTACAGTGAAGGGTTTTTTGGTTTGTTCCCAACTTCTAAACAAAACCCCTCAGTGAATTAAGAGTGTTACCCTATTTTTGCACAATTTGATGTATATGAATTGCCTGTTGCAAAACCAGATGTTATCCAAATATTCAATATTTGCAAATAGGTATTTAAACTGCTGACTTCTAATATCAAAACAAAGATCGTTAACAGCAAAGTTTATCCTAGAACTATAGCTCAGCTTTCACCTGGCCCTCCACTGACCTCTTCATAAGTAAAAGGCAAACACTGAAAGGTCATACTCTAATTATTCTGAGCTTTAATAACTACTGCTATGGTCCCTTCCCAAGGAATCCAAGATGATGTTTCAACTCGAGTCCCTTGAAAATGCAGGGAAGCGTAGTGGAGAAATATCCAAAAGATAACTAAAGGGGTTAGGCACCCAGATACAATGGAATGATCTATTCCAAATAATCTATGTTGACAGAATACAGGACTGCCCCTTCTCCTATAAGCATGCATTCAAAGTTTGCTTCTTAATCATAAATATTGTCCTTTGTGGTTTTAGGATAAAAACATAAGAATATCAAGTAGTTTAGCTGTAGGAGGAAGATGACTTCTTTGAAAATTCTTATCACACAGGTAGGCTGTAAAGAAAGAAGGGGCAAATAAGATCTTCAAATTCTACTGTTTAAGTATGATCAATCACTGAGAAATAATTGCATGAGTTCATAGCCAAAGGCTGAGCCCACCTCTCCAACACCTTTAAAACCTCACTTTTCAACTTAAGTTAACTGTCAAAAAGCTTGTGATATGATCCCCTTCAAACTACCTTGCTTAGGAAAAAAAGGACCATGAAGCTTTGGAAAGGCCATCTCTGCTAACACCTGACGGTTAAACATGGTACTACTCAGCCTACCCAGCTGGGAAGAATGGAGAATAATGGATCTAAAATGACAGTGTTAGGGCTGGTCAAAAAAAACAAACACTTTTACCGGGGGGGGGGGAATAAGTCTTCTGACCAGTTCCAGACAACACAGTCCAAGAACTCCAGTCATGTGTAAAATGCTCTAGCACAGGCATAACAGATCCTCAGTCTTAGGAAACAGAGGGTCCCTCTGTTAAAGATAGTAAAAATTCCTCTTTAAGGAGGACTAAAAGATCCATTCGGCATCATTTTACAGGGTCCAGAATCTACACATTTTCAGCTCAGTGCACACATTCTCCAAAGCATTTAACTCTAAGCACAGATGTGCAGAGCTGGTAGAGACTAGGGCTGTGCAGATTTTCGGTAGCCAAATTGATTCAAGTTAAAAGCTCCGAACAGATTTGGAAAAGCTTCAGAAAAGATTTGGCCACTTTGGAGATTCAGCCATAGACAGTCTGCTGGGGTTGGAGCCGGGGGAAGGTAAGGAAGAGATTGGGGATGGAGCTGCACGTTACTTGGGGAGGGGGGTGGGATGTGGGCAAGGCAGCACTCAGAGCAGGGGCTGTGCCTTGCTGCCATTTGCCCAGGGTGGTGTGGGGGGGCAGGACACAGGTGCAGCTCACTCCAGGCAGAAGAGGGCAAGCACACATCCCCACCATGCCAGCTGGGAGTCGGGGCTATGCTGTTGCCATCTGGAGCAAGCCACACCTGCATTGCACCACCCCTCCCTGCACTGGCTGGGCAAGCGGCAGCAGGGCATAGCCCCTGTGGCTCCCCCCACCACAGCAGAAGCAGGCACAGCCGGAGGAGCCGCAGGAAAAGCCCCCCATGGCTGCTCTGCCCAACCCCAGCCCTCGCCTGGTCCCAGCCTAGTCCTGGCACTTAAAAAGCCCTGTACTTACTGGCTCTGGCAGCAGCGATCAGGGCCTCTGAGGGCTCGTGGCAGAGCACCCTGGCACAGCATGGGGCAGTGGCAGGCAGCACAGATCATCCACCCCTGTTTGGCACCTGCGCAGCAGCTGCCCCATGGCACGGATGCAGCACAGCTCGGCAAGGCGCTGTGCGCCGTCTGGGAGCTGGGGCACCTCCACCTGTCAGCCAGAGCCTAGTGCCACTCAACCCCAGTGGCCCCAGCTCCCAGACAGCGCATAGCACCCTGCTGAACTGTGCTGCAGCCATGTGATGTGACAGCTGCTGCGCAGATGCCACACAAGGGGGGCAATCCCCACTGCACAAGGGGGCTCTGCCACAAGCTCCCAGAGGCCCCAATCGCTGCTGCTACAGCCAATGAGTGCGGGGCTTTTTAAGTGCCAGGACTAGGCTGAGGCCGGGCAGGGCAGCCATGGGGACTTCTTCCACTGCTCCCCCTGTCTGGAGAGAGGCAAGCACAGCCAGAGGAGTCACAGGAAAACCTGCAGATGCCTGGCTGTGCCTGTCTTTCCACGTTTTCTAACCTTCTTATTCACAATACTCTCCTCTGGACTTCCAACAATTTGGCCACAACTTTCTTGAAGAGTGGTGAACACAGCACTCCAACCCAGGTCTCATCAATGCCAAGGACAGCAAAGAATTACCTTTCATGCCTTACACCTCTCAGTACATCCTAACCTTTGTGTCACAAGTCCTAGAGGGCATCATGGCCCTTGTTAAGTGAACTTTGGGTGCAATACGAAATTCAGTCAAGTACTAAAATTTGAGTCTACAATGGCCGAATACAAATGATTTACTTTGCTCCTTTCTTCTTTCCTACCTATTATGACAGGTCAATAGAATCACCATCTTCTGGTGTAAGTATTAAAAGCTTGCTATCCAAGTTGTGTCAGACACATTCCTTTTGGAAGTGACAGAACAGCAACAGTGATAAAGGTCAATTATGGCACAATTCAGTCATCCCGTTCCTATGACATCTACCTTGACATAGGAGTCAAGGTAGATGTCATCTCCCTAGACTTTAAGAAGGCCTTTGATACAGTATTTCTTTCTTTTCTCATAAATAAACTGACAGGCTGTGATGTAGATAATTGCACAGTCAGGTGGGCTGCAAACTGGCTTAGGGGTCGCACCCAGAGTGTGGTGGTGAATGGGTCGAGATTGACCTAGAAAGATGTTGGCAGTGGAGTCCCACAAGCCTTGGTCCTTGGACCGATGCTATTCAATGTCTTCATCAGTGACTTGGACAAGGGCATGGAAAGCACCCTGTCCAAGTTTGCAGATGATACCAAATTATGGGGCAAAGTTAACACACAGAGGGTAGGGTGTGTCCAGGTGGATCTGGACAGGTTGGAAAAATGGGCAGAACAAAATAGGATTCATAGACATTAGGGCTGGAAGGGACCTCAAGATTATTAAGTCCAGCCCCCTGCCCGAGGGGCAGGAAGTCAGCTAGGTTCAAAGAACCCCAGCAAGACAAGCATCCAAGCGTTTCTTGAATAAGTCCAGAGAAGGTGCCTGCACCACATCTGAAGGGAGCCAATTCCAGGTCTCGGAGGCTTAGACAGTAAAGAAATTTTTTCTTATGTCCAGCCTAAAACGGTCTTGTAAGAGTTTATGATGATTCGTACTTGTTTTTCCTTGGGGCACTCTGGTGACCAGACATTCTCCCAGATCCTGATGAACACCCCTTGTGTACTTATAGATGGCCATCGGGTCCCCCCACTTAGCCTGTGTTTTTCCAGAGTGAAGAGTCCCATGGCTCTCAGCCTCTCTTCATAGGGTCTATTCTCTTGCCCTCTGATCATGCGTGTGGCTCTCCTCTGGACTCCCTGAAGCTTCTCAACATCCTTTTTGAATTGCGGAGCCCAGAATTGGATGCAGTACTCCAGCTGTGGCCTCACCAAGGCAGAGTACAGCAGAAAGGTGACATCCTGAGATTTACCTGAGAAGCATCTATAGATGCAAGCCAGCGTTTTGTTTGCTTTATCAGCTGCGACATCGCATTGGTGGCTCACGTTCATCTTGTGGTCAATCATGACCCCCAAGTCTCTTTCCGCAGCGGTGCTAGCAAGCGTAGCACTGCTGAGCCTATTACCTTGCTGTGGGTTTTGGGTGCTGCATTTCAAGAGAGATGTGGAGAATCTTGGGAGGATTCAGAGGAGGGCAATGCC